TGTACCTATGACTTTTCTGCGTTTGTACATTTGTAAAAGATTACTAGCAATACCTCTCGAGCCTTTGGAAAACGTGTGAAGCCCCAACCTATTAACACCCTGAGCGCTTGTACTGCCGGCGATACACTCAGTGATAGGCACTTACCGCGTAACCTCGAGCGAGTGATGGAGCCCTGCTGAAGGCATATTGATTGATATATTGTAAGTATACACAGTGTTGTAAGCCCCTTAAGAATTTCAACCCATGGACTACAAGTGTAAAAAGACTGCCAATGTGCTGTAAACAGCGTTACCTAGACTTGTTTCGTACATCGAACATATAGCCAGTATATATTGCACAGGGCTGACAAGAAATAAAACTGATAAGAGTAGCAGAACTACCAATTTACTTATAATAACTAATGTGGAACTTAAAGCTTCTGCATGCGAGTACACAAATTACAATATAAATGTCTTAATAATACACGTAAGTGACATACCAGAAAGCGACTTTTAACGAAGATTAATGATCATTTGATTGTAGATACCATTTAATTAAATTATGGATGATACAAAAGATCGTGCTCGTTGATCTTTTTCTTATTGAGAAAAGACCGTTGTAAAAAATGCAGTCGAATTGAGAACCTCCTCCTTTTGCGAAAAAAGCAGGATTTTGCAATAGCTTTACGTTTTACCAGTATACCAGAAACTTATGACATATACGTTTTTCAACGATCAATATACAGTTTGACTTCTGTTTTTTTTTTGTCGAGCACCCCGCGTCTATCTCCAACACTCGCCGAGATTCAAGACTCTGAAATTTGTATGGCGACCATCTTGTTTTTTCGAATTTTTTTCACTTCCGGTAGAAACTACCCAGGCTAGCGGCCATTTTTAGTTTGAAGATATGATACTTTGGCCGGGCAGCTGGTGTCCTACCTGATGCAGTCCATTTTTCGAAGGTTTCGGATTTTTCTGGTACTCACCGGAACTATATATATTCTTTATTGCACCAAACAAATAAACAGAAACAAAAAAAAATAACATAAGGTGAGCAAAGGTGGACTTATCTCTAAAAGAGATCTCTTCCAGCCAACCCAAGGCAGTGAGAGCAAAGGTTTTAAGCGGGGAACGGCGTGCAAAAGAGATAACAAAAGATGATAATCTACATGTATAAAATATGCATATATAAAATTACTGTTAAATAATTAAAATAGTATATAAATAAATAGACTACATAACGTATAATACATTGTATCAATAAACTTACACATATACAAATATGATGATTATTAAGAGAGTTCAGCAAGAAAGTGCGCTGTCAACCTTTTCTTGAAGGAAGCAATTGACGGACTAGACTGAATATGGGAAGGGAGTCTGTTCCACAGCTGCGCTGCACGAGAGGAAAAGGAGTTGTAAAAGAAATTTGTTTTACAACTAGGACGAACGAGCATCTTAGTGATGCACGAACGCCTTGAGCGGCTAGGAGGGGGAAGCAGTTGGAACCGGGAACGTAGGTAGGAAGGGGAATTTGGGTCATGAAGTATATTAAAAAGTGTGGACAGGATATGCACATCACGGCGAAGGCGGATTGGGAGCCATTTTAACCGAGCACGAAATTCGGAAACGTGATCAAATTTTCGGAGACCGAAAATAAATCTGATAGCCAGGTTCTGTAGACGCTCTAGTTTGTTTAAAAGGTCTTCGGTCGCATCCAAGTAACAAACGTCGGCATAGTCAAGAATAGGGAGTAAAAGAGTTTGCGCAAGCATAATTTTGGTGTGAAAAGGAAGAAAGTATTGGAGACGTTTGAGAGAATGATATGAGAAGTACATTCGTCTGCTGACCTCATTGACATGAGAAGTCCAAGACAAGGTGCAGTCCATTACTAACCCGAGATTTTTAGCCTTGTCAGTATATGCAATTGGAACTCCGTCATATACCAGCGGAGGAGGTACCAAAGACCAGTCCAACTTGGACCTCAATCTGCTACTGCCCACAATCATTGCTTGAGACTTGGCTGGATTAACCAAAAGGCCAAATGACTTGGCCCATAACTGAATGGCAGACAAATCACAGTTGATAGACGCAATTGCCTCCGCTACCTCGCCCACTTCAAAATTACGATAAAGCTGAAGATCATCAGCATATAAATGGAAGGGAGAAGAAATGACACGGGAAATATTATTAATAAAAATAGAAAAGAGTAAAGGAGAGAGTACGCCACCCTGGGGCACACCAGCAGTTAAGTTAGACCAAGATGACGAGCCATCATTGATTTTCACGCTCTGCTGGCGACCGAAAAGATACGAAGAGAACCAACTTATAGTAGGAGAGGGGATATTAATAGCCTGAAGGGCACCAAGAAGAATGTCGAAGTTAACAGAGTTAAAAGCGTTGCTGAAATCCAAGAGGGCAATGGCAGTGAGTTTCGTTTCATCCATAGCACGACGTATGTCCTCCGTAATGTTCAGTAATGCTCCAATAGTGCTATGAGATGGACGAAAGCCAGACTGAAACGGACATAAAAGATTATAGGAGGTAAGTTGAGAATAAAGTTGTGTATGTACAATGGATTCTAGGGCTTTAGAAAGAATGGGGAGAATGGAAACAGGACGGTATTGTGAAAAAGATGTAGGATTCTGGATTTTAGGGAGAGGTATGACAAAAGCCTTTTTCCATTGAGTTGGAAAGACATAGCGCGAGAGAGAAAAATTTATGATGTAAGTAATAACCGGCGCAATGTCCTCCAGCACGGGAAGAATCATTTCGAGGCTCAAATTGTCACTGCCAATGGCCTTAGTGGAAATCGAGCGGATACTCTTTTTTACAAGATCCTCTGTGACCGCACTAAAAGTGAAAGGGGGACAATCAGGTAACGCAAGATTAGACAGAAAAGTTAGAGTATTCGATTTAGTGCGAGAGTTAAGGATGATGGGCGGCGTGGAAAAGTGGGAGTTCAGGGTATCGAGATCTATGTTGTTTTGGCAAACATCCAAGGACGACTTGCCAACACCTACGGAATGTAAAAATTTCCACACCTGAGCTTGGGAAAGATTTTGTATGGTAGAGTGAAAGTAGCGACGTTTGGCATCCCTACACATTCTATTGCTGAGATTGCGTAACTTCTTATACGCGTCTAGATTTGCTGAAGAGGGTTCACGTTTTAGACGGCATTTGGCTTTATCACGCATTGCCATAACTCTTTTAATCTCAGGCGAAAGCCAAGGAGCCGGCACACAGGAGCAGGAGCATGGGAGTCATAAACCTTCACCAACTCAGTGTTAAGGATATCAACCATTACGTCAATACTGTCAGACGAAAACAATACGGACCAGTCAATACATCTCATATCTTCTCTCAAACGATCCAGATTCAAATTCTTGAAATTTCGCAAAAGAAGGACTTTTCCCTTACCTTTAGGTGGACGCACTTTGTAAGAAAGATAAATACTATCCGACCGCGATTCCCGATTTTCACCCATCCCGACTCTTTCTGGGAGAACAACTATGTCAATGCCTATATAGATCAGTCAGTGGTCAGTTGTTACGCCGCCCAGCGTAATCGAAGCCAAAAACGGAAGCGTGCAGCGTGGTTAAGTCCACTATTGTTAAGTTGCTATAGAGAAGGTGATTTTTATGTACTGTACCCGAAATTAAGACAAGATGAAAACAAATTCTACAACTACTTTAGTATGTCGATTGCTACTTTTGGTAAATTAAACGATGTATTAAAAACAAAAAAATATATAATATACGAAAAATATATATATACCCTCCTAAGAATGTCAATTACTACTTTTGATTCTAAGACTATATAGTTCACATAGGCACTCGAAGTTGAAGTCTCGACTGCATGCAGTTGAGTTTGGACTGCATACATTAAATGCTAGAAGTAGATATCAAGTTGATAACGACTGCAGGTTGCAGTCGATTACAACTGCATGAAGTTGATTACGTTGATCTGTTAGCAACCTAAGTCACATTTTGTGTTTTGCAGATGTATTCGATCATAGTATGTAAGATTATTACTAGTATCACAGATTACAGAATATAGTATCTAGTATCTAGTACTTAACGAAGCCATCACGAACAACGCAATATTTTTTTCTGACAAATCTAAGCACATTACCGTGTCATTCAAATGTGCATATATGCAACGATTGACAGTTACTCGGACTATTTAATATTCTAATCATGCGAATCTATTTAACATTTATTATGTGCAAAATAAAAATTCATTTTCCTATTTAACGCGACTCCATGCATACGCTGTTCCGAAATTTCGATTCAATGAAGGCTAATTAAGTTGAATGACGGATGACAATGTCTTTAAGCAGAGAAGCTCTCGTGATTTATGCCAACTGTGCTCCAGTAACTGTTTGTTTTTGAATTATCTTTTTAAGAAGATATCAAAAAAACTACCATCTACCGAGGGACTCACATCAGAGTCGTCTATTGCACAGGGAAAATATACTTGTTCTATTACTGTCAACTTTTACACAACCGTTGTGTTGTGTTCATAAAAAAATGAGTTGTGAATTATGAAATATTGACCTTAGACTGTCTTCCCGTCCGAGGAAGAAAACTTGGGTCGAAAGCCAAAACACGCGAACGTATACATTCATAATATTTTTAACTGCCTCTGGAGCCGAACGGTTACCATGCCGGACTGCCACGCAGAGGTCCCAGGTTCGATTCCAGGGCCGGGAGAAATATTTGTATGGCCTACAGTTATTTCTCTCGTGAGTTTGGGTGTAATTTGTGGTTGTCTATGTGTGTGTCCATGGCACCCGCGACACAGGGTTTTCCTAGTGCGGGGCTATGTTGAGTGTGAGCGTTATTATTATTATTATTATTATTATTTTACTGCGGTACAAAATGTGCTCCCGTGAAGAGCTTTTCCTAGTGTCATTAAAAAATAATGAGCGTCACTGAAGCCTGCTATGCTCCCAAGAGTCCACACCACCAATTACAATTACACATACCAATATGCTTTATCAATAATTATGTATATTACAGACATGGAAGACGAGTGCTACCCAGCCATCCCAGCTTCAGCATGGTCACGGCGGCGCTGCAGCAACACGCCCGAAGTTAAGGCTGAGCCCAAGTCGGAGCCCGAGTCCCCCGCTTCCTCCTGCCCCCCCTCACCGACACCCGGCACACCTGTCACACATTTAGACTATGTCATTGATCACACGGTAAGTTAACATCGATTCGTAATATTGGTAGTAGCAGTACAGTTCTTTGTCAAAGAGTTTATCCAGGGAAATACTATTTCTAAAACCTCCACTCCATCAAGTGACGGGACGAACAAGTCGTGCGCCTGATAGTAAGCTATACGCCTGTCCATAACAGTTGCAGTGCCACAGAGCTTTAAGTCGCGAAGGTCTGAAAGGTACTGTCACAGCGCTCTCTGAGACATAAGTTGACAAGTCCCATGTGCCTGTAATTTCACCAGCAAAAACCGCAACACAGTAATGCTGACATTACTGCTTAACGGCAGAAATAGATAAGATGGCAGTACTTCCCTGGACGAACTCTTTCACAAGGAGCTGTGCTGCTACTCAAGTTAACAAGTTACTCAAGTTCCTGCTACTCAAGTTAATAACGACGACATGAAGTCGATTTCGACTTCATGCAGTTAATGCGTGAGGTCGTGAAGGTAAAGTTGATAACGACACGACTAAGTGATCTGAGTGTCGGGTGCAAATGTTGTAATTATAAATGATGTTGAGAAGCAATAGCCAGTTTACTCTCCTCCAAAGAGCCCGCGTGTGCCTCACACCCTGCACCATAGGTAAAGTAGGCACTGTTTACACGGTCGCGGTGCGTCATGGTTCCTGTCTCACCCAGCGGGAGAAAGGCGTATTGGTGTACGTGTTTATAACAATGTCACCTGGATCGTCTCGTTTTGAAATAGCTAATATTTGTCCAATAACTAAAACTACACATTTTAATATACTTTTTATAAACTAATTTTGACCGTCATGAGAAAGCGCTGTGTAAAACCGTTTATCTAACGCAGTGGTTCCCAAACTTTTTTGATTCGTAGACCACTTGCCAGTTTTTTCTGTTTTGCATCGACCCCCTGCCTTTCGAATATGGATTGTGATGACAGTGCACCCCTTTTATTCGGCTCTCTTCAGAGTACACACTACGCCCATATCCCTAAAGCAACTCTCCCCTTTCTAGGATGTTCGTCCGTTTATGGAATGTCAAAGTTTTGGTCACGACCTACTTAAACGGGTTCTACTCACGTGGACCACAATTAACGTCACACACCCCTACTTAATAAACATAATCAATAATAATAAATAACTTAATCCCTCTCGTTGGACCTGACTGGAAACTAGCTCCTTAGGAAACTTTGGCATATGTCAACGCCATTCACTGCTATGACAATCATGTTATGTTTTCCTGTTTAATTTGTATTTATATTATATCAGTCAATAAAGTGTTTATCTATCTGTCTATTTTCACAAACATTGACATGAACCCTCGGGGGTCCATATAAACCACTTTGGGAATCACCGATCCGACTGATATGCGTCGATTTAAACATTTTGGCAATTCATTCACGTGACCGACGCTTGGCCTATTCCTTTGCAACATTTGACCCGGCACCGTTCAAAAACGAAGGCTTTTAAAGTTCAACTCTGTGCTTACTCACTTTACAACTTTCTCTGTGACTCGAAAAAAAATGCAACATTTTCGACTGCGTAATACGAAGTCATTTCCCTGATAATTATTGAAATACTCGGTAGGCTTCTCCGAAGTTATGAATTACACATGCTCCGAACACGCAAAGTGCGTTTAGTGTCTACGTAATTAACATAAAACTTTTTAATGTTCTTTTGTCTTTAACCCCCCACACAAAGAGAGGGGATTTATAATTTTGAAGCCTAATATCGTACATCTGAGTGCTCGTCTGTTGCAACGTAGCTTCCAAACGGCTGCACTGATTACTTAAAGCGGTATTTCTATTTATTTTATCACTAATTTAAGGTCGCAGCATACGTAACGTGTTTTTTCCCGAATGGCAAGATCTTGTGTTTGCAGATAGGCAATACGACAAACGTGGACCCAACATATACAACACATTGAATAAGGAATTCAAAATGTACAGCAAATTGTATTATGAGTGTAAAAAGATTATGTCCAAATGGATTGCGGGGAAAACATAAGAAGTTGATCCTCTGTTTGATAACCACTCTTAAATACACGTACACATACAAACAAACAAACACACACACACATACACACACACACACACACACACACACACACACA